CTGCTTCTTCCCTCTGAGCATCCAGCAGAACCAGAACCTGAGTCTCAAGCAGAACCAGAACCAGAACCAGAACTAGAACCAGAACCAGAGCCGGTGGTAGTCTCATCTTCCTCCCTCTGAGGCTCCAGCTGAACCAGAACCAGAACCAGAACCAGAACCTGAGCTGGTGGTAGAGCCTCTGCTTCCTCCCTCTGATTCTCCAGCAGAAGCTTCTAGGTTCTCTCCTCTGTGTTCCTGTTGTTTTTCTTATTTTTCTGGTCCAGCAGAAAAAAACATCCTGTTTGAAGTGGTTTTCCCGTCAGCCTCTAGAAGAAATAGAACTGTCTCTGGTTCAGGCCGACCAGAACCACTAGAACTAGAACCAGAACCAGAACCAGAACTAGAACCAGAACTAGAACCAGAACCAGAACCAGAGCTGGTCGTAGAGCCTCTGCTTCCTCCCTCTGAGCCTCCAGCAGAACCAGAACCAGAACCTGAGCCTCCAACTGAACCAGAACCAGAACTTGAACCAGAACCAGAGCTGATCGTAGAGCCTCTGCCTCCTCCCTCTGAGTTTGAAGCTGTAAATAAAGTCTGTGCCTCGGCCCTAAACCTCCATCATCACGTGGTCGACTGGTCTCTGAACGCCGTTAACATGAACACATGACATGTGGTTAGTTACTTTAAGTCTCCAGAAACAGGAAGAAAGTCCTGCGTGAACACATGTAATGGAGGACGCCTGTAAATACTTTTTGTATCTATCATTCTAAACCTCTTGTTATCAGAACATTATTTACTCTCAATCAGAACATTATGAACTTCCATTGTGTGGGCATGAATAGCAAATGTGCTTGCATAAGAAGATTTGAATACCCAGATGCGGCGTCTACAGCAAAACAGCAGCTAAGAGCAGAAGTGTGAGAAGGCCAAGTTCCTCGGTTCTCACCCATCAGAGCGCCTGACTGTACCATGATAAGACACGTGGATATTTGTGGGATATAATGTAACCTTAAGCTACACCTGCGTGCAGCCTGTGTGCTCTCCTCCCTTAGAGGCTGCAGGCCCATGTAACTTAAGGAACGGTCCTTAACTAGAAAATTTCTGAAGAAATTTTGGAGGGGGGCCACCCGCTGCCCGTCCGGGAACAGGTCGGCCAATCGATATTTGG